GTCTTGGGATCAATTACATTTTGTCCAGGATTTTTCTTTTTTTGGTTCACGTGAACTATTATGGGAAAAAGCAAAGCGAAGACCATATTTTTGGGCATAATAAAAATCCCAATCTGACGCTGGTATTTCTAGCAACAAACGCTACAAGACATCAAATTATTTCGGCTGACGTTGGTACATGTCCTGTCCACCGCCATCAGTTTGACTGCCAAGTGATGTTATAGTCACAATCGATTTCGCAGATCTTTTCATAATTACCAAGTAAAACCAAACAATAACTCAACGCTGAGGGAAGCGAATTCAATTTTATATTATAGTGTGCAATGCAAGGAGCTGCTAGTTGATTCAATTACAAAACAGAAGAAGAAAAAACACACCATCTAATTTGGTTTTTACTTTACACGTAGAGAGCAAAATAATTGAAAAAGAATGTTTGCGATGCTCATTTTGTAATGAAATTACGGAACACGTCAATCGACGAACTCTCCCAAAATAGACCTAAACATAGATCATTCCTGTAGAATGAAAAGTTCATGTCACTGTACACTGACATTTCATTTTACTGCTGTGACATTCTAATGTTGCAAGTGGGTCTGCCCGATGTTCCCCAATACCTATGTTCCCCAATACCGATGTTCCCCGAAATCCATAGGATTAGGATTAGGGTTAGAGTTAGGGTTATAGGGTAGGGATTTCGGGGAACATAGGTATTGGGGAACATAGGTATGCACCCGTTGCAAGGAGTCTGAATCGGTTTAAAATCTTGACTAATATGATCCCGTGTAGTAAGAAATAATACATGCAATTACACACGGATCATTCTATAAATTTGGGGTCTACTTTTTCTCCCCCTTTTTCCTGTTGGTAAATTCTGGATACACACCTTAGCACATTTTGCCCTAAGAGTGATTAGGAAAAACAAACTGCCGATATCCAACAAATGAGAATTCTTTCAACTCATTTTTAAAGGTATGTATGGGATCATTAGTGTTTAGTGCATTTGTTTTCTTTTGAAGCAACAGAAACCTTTAAAAGGGTGCATGGCAACAACACTGAAGCTGCAGCTCAGTAGATACCGTACGTTTCGAGAAAACAGAGGAAAGGGCACAGTTTTGGGGGTCTCGTAACTTGATTCCGTTGGTAACGCACGTAAAAAAAACCACCCCAACTATTTCCATGGGAACATTGTCTAAAACAACCTCCAATGATTGCTTTCTTCCGAATGAAATCATATCAGGTGGATTATTTTCACAGGGTCTTTGATACCAGTCCTTCCTTCCCTCTCAGCAAGTATGTTCTCGTTAGATCGGTATGTTTCCGCGTAACTGCAATATCCCCACGTGCCTTGAATGAAAATGGAAAGGCAAATAAAAAAGTTCAGAGGACAGGAATAATGTCACACTGGACTCTAAATTGAATGAACCAGATACATCAGATGCCCTCTCACAAAGTACATGTATTTAGGAATGTTTGGTAATTCTTTAGCAATAAAAATATGCTCTGGAAAATACCAGTATCACTGCACAAAATACTGAGTATAGCCTAAGACAAAGACAACAGCATCGGAGAAAGAAAACAAACGCAGCTGCTAAAAGGAATGTTTTCATTATAATTACTAGAATACTTCCGTTACCTAAATTGCTCATTATAAAGACAGTATATGTATACGTTAATGGAGGACGCAAGCCATTACCTATATGAAGACGATGCTTCAATTCAGGTAATGCATCCTTACACACGTGCCAATTAAGGTAATCATAGTTATATGCACGCGTTTCATGAACAAACACGTCTGGTCGTTTGAAAGTGCAGACACTCAAGAAGTGACTATATGATAATGTTCTATTAATACAGCGTCTGATGAGCCTATCTTGGCTGTACGAAGTATAGACCTCGCCCAATCACTCATTACCAATATAGGCCCTACATCATTTCTGGGTGAATAACTTCAGTCAATATATTTTACCACAATGGTCTTTTGATACAGCGTTCCTAGCTCCGTGGATACAGGACCCAATTTTTCTGTAACACGTTTGGCCATTGGAAAGTGCAGACACTCCAGAAGTGACTGTATGATAATGCTCTATTGATACAGCGTCTGATGAGCCTATCTTGGCTGTACGAAGTATAGACCTCGCTTAATCACTCATTATCAATATACATCATTTCTGGGTGAATAACTTCAGTCAATATATCTTATCACAATGGTTTTTTGATACAGGGACCCAATTTTTTCTGCACGGTAGCATTCAGCCCCCATTTTTAAGCGTTTCCATCGCATCATTGACGTCTCGCTTTTATGACAGAAACTTGAGTTATAAAAGAACTTCGAACCACGAATAAATGTTTGATATTCAAGTTTAGCAGTGCATGAAACATTTTCACGCTGAATTTCCCTACTGTTGGTGTTATATTGCATCCACTGAGCCTAACCTTAAACATGACGAATTATGATACACGCGATGTGACATCTTAGTTCTTTCTAGATACGACTTCGGGTTTTGGCATAAAGGTGCTTGAAATGTATTTAACTAAATAATCGAAAGACGTTAAAGTTGGTATTAAACGTGCTTTTTCAAAATTTCGATTTTCTTTTCCGAACGAAGGTTAAAGAAATATAATATCCTGTAACAAATATATTTGCTTGTTTGTTTTTGCAGGCCTTTATACATTAAAAGTGGTTTTAAATGGCGCGCTTCAGTTCAGAAATTGCGCGCACTATTCAGAACGAATGAGGAGCGTCCCACTGTTAATACAAAGGTGGAAATTAATTTATTAATTACTTGTCTTGGGCTGATTTTTTTTTCTGCGATGTCTCATTGAAAGCTCATAAATAATGTGATGCCAGAAAATTTTCAATTCAATTTGAAAATCTATTTTTCAAGGTGCCACACCCAAAAAGCACGTATACACCAACTTGAATGACATAAGCTCTTCCAGAATCTTCTCACAGGCTGAAGGAAAAGATCTGAATTGGTCTATTCCTGCCTGAGAAAAAGGCCTATACAGCTAACGATATTTACAAGATTGTTTTCAATTTATTTTCGACAGCCAAAACAGCTGTTGGTATTTCGAAACTCCAAACTTTTCAATAGAAACAAACAAGACTTCAAGTAATAGCAGGTAACTTTAAAACATGTTCTGTTGACAGTTCCCAGTAACATCACCGGGCAGAAATTGGCAGGATGTGCGTGAATCCGATGTTTTCAGTCAAAATGATTTCACATTTAAGATACCCCCTCGATATTGTCCAGCTACTACCGTGTGAGTTAATCACCCATCAAGGCATTCACTGCTGCAGGCAAAACACCTTTGTCACTTAAATTGATGAGGACTCCTGAAATGTACTGCGGAGGGCTTGAACAATTTCATTAGCTACATCTGCGAGGGGGGACTTAAGAAAATAAAGGCGAGAAATCTAACGGCCCTTCAGAGTACGATGTGGGTACGGAAGCTATGTAACATCGCACCCCTAAGCCTGTGCGACGGGTAAAGAAATAAAGATGAATCGACCGTAAGAACGGACGTTGGTATCTGCAGCTGATCCCACGCGATGTTATCTATGGCCTGTCTCCTTCTATCCGATGTGATCTGTATATTACAGTTTTAAAGACGTCAACTTTCCTCTTGATTTCGTTTGATTGATATGCCCTTCGACAAGTCTTTAGACTTTGGAGATGCTGTTCTTGGTGCTACTTTCGTAATCCATGTAGAGTAGGCCTACTGGTTCCCATCCTTTGAATATCGATCACGTGGGCACCGGTCTCTCACAGGGCGGATCTGTTTGTGCTCAAACGCGACGCAAAATGAAACTTGAGAGAGCAGTGGACGTCCAAAACAGAAACAAAATCAGATTTTTTTTCGGGGAGGGTGGTGTTAAAATAACACACTCAAAATTCATCGGCAACAGAAAAAAATATAAGCCATTTCTTTAAAACGCATTAACATTAAAGAAAAACAAAGAAGAGCAAAATAAAATTTTAAGACTTCTTAGCGTCACTGCTATCCTTAACGATCTTCACTAGCTGACAATCTCCAACCGAATTAAATTCAAACTACCGACCCTGGTTTTCAAATGTCTTAATACTGACTCTGCAGCTTCATTACTTAACGGAACTCATTCAGTTGTACTGAAGCTTAGCTTCGATCATCAGTCTATTGATACCAGATTACTCGTCGGGAAAAATTCTTATTACCTCTGGTGAAAAAAAGCTTGCACACTGCTGCCCTTAAACTCTGGACCAATTTACCTTACAGTATCCACCACCCTAAATCATCAGCAGCTTCCATAAAACCTCTGAAAACTCATTTGTTTAATTGATGTGTTAATGTTTATTTGTTTATATTCCTCTTGTGTTTGCTTGATGTTTCATTTGGCGTAAAGCGCTGTGTTACTTTCTCCGGTTTGTTAGAGCGCTATATAAATGCTCTGTGTTTTTATTATTAAAGGACTATTGTTATTATATCCACTAGCGTGTCTGCCATTTGAGGAAGTTGTAGTGTTTATTGATATTCATTGACGTGATGAACAAATTCAAAAAGTATTCGTGTAGAGTCCACTATATATGCGAATTCTAATCAACCTATTCAACGTTTAGTTATGCATGGTGTATAAAAAAAGTAATCCAAAACTAATGGATCAATATGTAACAGTTATGAACTTGAAAACTGTCAAAGTGGCTCCATCTTACGGGTAATTCATTAGCTTTTCATTGATATCTTATTTGCATCTCTTCAGTCGCGGATGACTGAGCACCATTGATTTCAAAATAAATGTCAATCAAAAAATCTTTTTTTACACGTTTGCCGTATAAATGGTGAGTTTATAAGCTGTACGAAGAATGCGCTGACGCTGTGGACAGCGCGTTAAAAGTGGTTTCCGACCTAAAAATACCTTCTTCATTAAATATTGTCTGTTACTTTATCTTTCCCTTGATGGACTCAGTGAAAATTGCAAATTATGTCTCAGTCTCTTTCTTTCTTACTTTCTTTCATCGCAGGTCACGATGTGTAGTTGGCTTAGTGTTGCCATAGCAACAGTGACGTGCCTTTCGATTTCGCCAATCGCGTGCCTGCCTCTTCATGACGTAGCCGACGGCAGCGAAAGGCGGGAACTACTACACACGTGGTTGGAGCCCTCCGACGTCATGACGAATCCAGGTCCCAAGGAGTTTGCCCAGTCAGCCAAGTCGCTGTTGCTGGCTAAGCCGAGGGACTCTGGCTCTGTGCTTGACCTACTGCTGGCACTGCGAGACCCAAACAACGACCCTCGTGAGCTCGGCCACCAAGGCGAGGCTGAAGCCGTCCTGAGTAAACGGGGACAGTCCAAAGTTGACGACTACGGTCATGGTATGTTCTGGGGTAAACGAGGCGCTTGGCTGCAACACGACGAAGTCAAGACGGGTAGAGCTGACCAACAAACCAAGAGGGCGCATGATGAATACGGCTTTGGCTTATTTTTTGGCAAGAGAGATGATTCAGATTACGACGACTTTACTTTGTAAATAATCTTGAGAATAATGCAACAAAATGGGGGACAAAATATAAAGCCTTCCTGCGTTTCACGGTCCGCGATGCAAAAATAAAATTGATCTTAAATCGCTTAATGGAAGGCTTGATTTTTTATTTCACTGAAATTGCGTTATAGGGAAGGAACTTGTACTGTCATTTAACATGATGTACTCGTCTTTAGGGAAGTCTCAGACATTAATAACGACGCTTTTCTTCATTCGTTTTTTTTTTAACTTTCGATGAATGAGATTGGGCAGACAATAATTATATTTTACGGCATTTTTGAATTGATAATTGCTTTATTGAACAATGCAGGATCGACAAAAGAGGTCAGCTGGAAATGAAAATGCTCAGAAAACTGATTTTGATGGCTTACAATGTCATCATGATTAACTTAAAGTAACCTAAAGAAAAAAACAGAGTTCGGATTTGTTTGACAAAACAGTTTTGACATTTTTGATGATTACATTCTTAGCGACATTTTAATTCACTTAAAAAATTCTTACAAAGAAGGCCTGTGGTATAAAAAATTTCGTCATTTTTATTGTCGGCCCAATATCATAGCTCCGCTTACCATAAACGAAGAACCTTCGCTTATATTGCAAACAGAAAATGTGCTGACGGAACGCGTACTTTATGGGTTAGCATCCGTATCATCTCTTAGAGCCAAATCCTCTCTGAGTGGTCCCCGTTTGCTTTTTCTCGGATTTGCAGCATTGCTGATGTTGCTTGTATCGTGACTTTGGGCGTGGTCCATGGGAACATGGCATAGGCTTATATATGGTTTATGGCTTCTGAATCAGCCATATGGTTGCGAAGTGCGATTTCTAAAGGTTACGTAACACTTTATTTTAAATGAAACTACATGTACAAAGACATGGTCACGTTGGCAGGCGAAATCTTTGAAAATTAATTTCTCCAATTTGGAAGACCGTATCTTCATGCAACTTTCAGAATTTATTTCCCCTATAATGATCCAAGTATGTGTTAAAAGTCGTTGTGATATGTTCATTACTTTTTGTTGAAATTGGAAAAAAAAAAGGCCTCGCTACGTGCAAATTGTAACACTGGCGTGCGCAATATCTATCAATCTTTTCAAGCCTCGCGAATATTAATGAGGTTCCTATCCATTACGGTGTGCGGTAAACAATTGGTAAAGGCCTCCTTCACGAGTTGTTAATTAACAAATATCACCCTTTTTTGCCGGCTTCCATTGGTCGATACCGAGACCCACGCCATGTCACGCCCATTGACGCTAATGGATATGCTAATATGCCCGTCATCATTGTGTGCTGGGCCGAAATCGGCCAGCCGTAGCGCCTACGGCGCTTTGCTGAACAATGCATATGGGTTGGGTCTTTTGATCCTCTTCGAAATTTTCCATGGAGATGGTTCACGTTATAACACTAGCGTCCGCAAAAACAGATTAAGCTGAAATTCGGAATATACTTAGATGATATAAGTGTTCAACTACTCGTGAAATAACAACTGGGATAAATTCCTAGAAACTGGGATAAATACATACATTTGGAGAAGTTTTCGAACGATTTCTTCGAAACTTGAAGGTCAGCTTTGATAGTAACCAGTATTGACGTTTCGGCATCGATGACGGTGATTTTTTTCACTGACATGAAGTTTAGAATTTTTTCTTCAGTTAAAATGTAACATTTCAATCATACCGAGCATACTTTCTGAGAAACACAACTTTCAAAATGCCATGTTTTCGGGGCGCATGAATTTCACTGCTCCGTTATAGCGGTTAGCAACCATATGGCTGGAATAGCGCCTCTTGAACAAAGACATTGACTAAATGGGAAGTCGGTAACATAGGGCTAGATAGCTCAGTTGGTGGAGCACCGGAACGGCAATCCGGAGGTCGCAGGTTCAAGCCCAGCTCAAGTCAATTTCTTTGTTCACCCTTAAAATAATTATAATGCACCTATTCAGTTTTCCCTCTGTGGTTTCTTTAAACGTTTTGATAATGTGCAGATACGTACAGCCCGTAACTCAGTATTCTGTGCTTGCAGGTTTAGCGCATGATTTTTTTTTATGCAAATGCAAATCACAAGCGCAGACTTCTATGGTTAGCAGAGCTCTGAAATTGGTGTAGCGCAAACCTTGGACTCTATTAAATATGGAATATGGGTTGTATTGCGCATGCCCAAGTGAGGACAATTTGGACAGTGACAGGTGACAAAGAGATTAGATTTCGTAGTCTGAATTTCAATATGACACCAGATCGTATTCGATAACTGCTTCTTTTTTCTTGACAGTTTATTGTGACGTATTTACATGACGTCACAACAACTCATAAGAGTATGTATCTTTGTCAGATTTCCTTTAAAAAAAATCTCAGACAGTAAAAGTGAACTTCGTATTTCTGAAAATCGCACACAGCACCAAGGAATTATTTTGGCTTTTGCACTGCAAAATGATTGCTCTGATTGTTGCAATGGAAATAGTGATGTTATAAAGAAATTATTTAATTAAATCTGTGTACACAATTATTTTCCAAATTCAGCTTTTTGTGCGACTCCGCTTTATCGATCATTTGAAAAAAAATTTGTCAACCACTTCAAATCTCATAAAATATTTTACTTATTTAAGGATTTTACAGTTTAAAACTTTTAGTTAGGTACTTTGCTTTCTCTAATTAAGGTACAAATTTGCATTGTGTATTATTGTAAATTTACTGTATTTTAAATTGAATTTTATGTAGAAAGGTTTCAGTTAGAGTTCATAATTATGTTCAAGATACTTGCCTGTGAGGAGTTTAGTTTAAGCTGAGTAACATATGCTGCGTTTGCGTAGAAAAAAAACATATCCATGTAAAGTAGTGGCTTGTAGACGTTTTGCATAAATGGTCTTGATTATCAGAAGCTTTTTAAGCAATAGAGCTTAGTCTAACTTTAAAAAAGATAGCTTGCACATAAAGCACATGTCATAGTGACTGTGGCTGGTTATTTTCTGGAGCTACCGTTCAGTCGTAGTGTCACAATGTTACCCATAAAGCTTGGGAAAGAATGAGCTGTACATAGCTTTATGCTTGCTTGCACTTACACGATTGACTGTATTGTCTGGGGAGACATAGTGGTAAAAAATATATCATTTGTAACAAAAAACAAGTGTAAAACCTAATAACGTCACACCATGTTACCGCGTTGCATTGTGGGAGCAAGGTATATACCCTTTTATATATATCTCCATGCTGGTATAGAAAGAAGATCGCTAATTTATAGAGTGCTTGGTTTCTATCTTTAAAAAGGCCATCGTTGCCCTTTTTGTTGGAAAATTGATACAAAGACGCGGTCTTCAATTCACACGATGATTTCAAAGTAAATAAAAGAAAAAAGAGAGAGAGTTATTTAACATTTCAACGTTGTACATTACGAGCATACTTTGTATGCTCATATAGTAAGTATATAGTCCTCACCTAGTCCCCATAACGCAAAGCGGTTTCAATACGACTCCATTACGTCTCTTGTCTATTCTTGCAAGTTTATTTATAAATCCTAGACGTTAAGATGACAAGCAAATTGTTTTGTTTTTGTTTTTTGCGTTAGATTTACATTGTATTGTTACGATTCTAGTATTTTAATTTTTATCCCCCTATTTTGCAGCCAGTCTCGTGCCAAACGTGGTTAAGTTGCTGTGGCGGTGGGTCTCTATCAATAAGATGAATCAAATTTAGTCTTGGCAATATTGGCAGCGCTACCCAGGAAATTCCGGGCATAACCTCACACGCGTGCATTAGCTTGAATACAGCACGCGTGAGGTTTGTTCGGAATTTCCTGGGTAGCGCTGCCAATATTGCCAATACTGGATTTGATTCATATTTTTGAAAGAGAACTCGCTTGTCTCGGACCGGCTGTATAACTCTAAGGGGAATAAAAACAAAACAAAACAAATCCAGTTTCGGGCCAATACTAAGTATTGCTCAGTTTACTGTTAAATATTTGAAGAATGTTGTATGAATAAGAAACCTATACACAATACAAAGCACGAGCGATATCAGTCAATTAAACGCAATCTATTCATGAAGCCTTTCGTCGGAGTCTTTTATTATTGTTTCCCCCTAAATAAATATTTTCAAGCACTGTGATTGACAAACGCCTCTTATGAAATTGATTTTACAAACGTGTTCACTTAAACTTATCACCAGCTGGGAAAATAACTCATTTGAACCGAAATATTTTGCAAAAATGCTTTGTACAATATTACCCCAAGTCACAGCGCATTTTGATGAATTCGAATAAATTTATGGAGGGCCTGTTTATTATTTGCTATGGATCATTTCTCCTTTATCATACACAGATGTGGTTCTGTGGCTAGGAGGAAAGGCGATCTCTCCAGTATCATCCCTCACATCTATTGATAATCCCAGCAAAATGTTGACCTTTTTAGCAAAAGAAATTTCTTTAGATTAGGCCTTTGTTGTGCGAGAGGCGAAATTATCCACATTTGTCTGGACATTTCTGAGTATAAACTCATCGCGATTCGTATTTTTCCAGTTATTTTGCAAAGCATCCTTAGATTGTCCGAATTTTCAGTCTTAAACTGCGTCCGATAACGTATAGGTTTCACCCAAGACTGAATTTAATATTCAAGGTAACGCCCTTCCGCCAAACCTGCACATCTTGACATATTCGTCATCGGTATAAATCAACGACATCAACGTCTTGGGCTTCATCATTCTTTTCACGAGGACATTTTCTTCTTGGAGGCGGTTTTATGACGCTGCCGAGTATGATAAACTTGCATTGGTTTCCTGTAGTTTCAATATAAGATCGTGATTCAGCGGAGGATATTACACTTAGCCCTTTGAAATCTACCGGAGGGGTGGATTGATGACTTTTTACTCTCGGAAGTCATCGCTATTACCAGGGACATAATATAGTTCTTTTACAAGATTAAAAACCCTCAGTGTCCTTTCCTTGCCAAAAAGTTGACATTTGTCAAGACAAAACCGAATGAAAAGAAGTACGGTATACGTCACACACATCGCGCCATTCCCAGCCGCGCTGATGCCTTTCTGTTGTGTCTTGAGGCGTGCTCTCGAACAAAAACCTTATGCACGTCAGCTGCTTCTGTGTAAAGTAACTGATCATTCGTTTGGGCCATGGTCGTGAAATTCAGGGTCGTTTATACATCTTGGGATATCATAATCTAATAAATTATGGATAATCAAATAATCGTAGTTTTGTTTTATAGCCGTTGCTATCATTTTCGGAGATGAACACGATGCTACACAAGAAATTTGATTCTTGAGACATCGGTGAGAAGTAAATATCCAAGCAAACACTACCTCGATGTTTAAACACAAAATCATTCCCGGTACACTATAAATAGCTAAACAAAAAATCTGATTTTTTTCTCGCTCTCAAAATGTGAACAAGAAAGGTATACCTCAAAACGTAAACAAGAAATACACAGTTGCATCTGGAGGTGAAGGACGACGCATTTTGATATCTTTTGGGGAATCACAAGGATTTATTCACGTACCGAAAGAAAGAAAATCCTCAAAACAAAAACAAGACAGATATATTTTTTTCTCATCGAAAACTGTAATGTTTCAATAAATGTTCAATATGCAAGCTCAGTTGTCAAAGTGCTCTTCCAAAGCTTTTAAGTTTGTATTTAAAAAAGGAAACATTTGGCAGAGAGTTAGCAGCCAATGAGCTCACAATATATTGTAAATTAATACTGAGCGTACTCGATTGTTCTTTCTCGAGTCATTTTAATGGCCGCATTGTTTTACTTAAAAGAAGCATTATGGTTGGGAGGACTCTACAGACATTCTTCATAGTGACAGTGTCTCAAGTGTTCCTGAGAGGTTGATTAGGCGGAGTAAA